GTTTACAGACCCCGAAACGCCGGCTTCGTATGGATGAGAGGCTGGTTTGGTGAAAAATTTGAGCGTTTAGGCCAGGGTTCGGCTTCGTGTGGACGGGGCCTAAATCTTGGCTAAGACTGGCGAGATTTAGCCTAAAAACAAACGTCTAAATGACGTCTGGTGTGTGTGGGGGGAAGAAGTCTGTTTAACCTCCACTGGGTTTATACTTAGAACAAATAAACAGTGCTACCTGAATATCATGATTTTTATTCAGCTGTAGACATCCTACAGATAAATGTTCTTCTCTCTCACTAACATGTTTTTTTATGGTAGCGTTCAGTTCTTTCTAAGGCCTGCAGTAAGTCATGGGTGGCGTATTGAACAGGGCAGGAGGTGGACAGGATGATTACTGAGGAAACGGATAGGAACTAAGAAAACAAGCCATGGAAGTGATGAACGGTGCCTTTCTATCCCCTCGCTTCTCTTTCACTAATTACTGCCTGCCCTTTAAAGCACCACAGGATTCCCTTTACAGTCTAGGATTTACCCGTCTGGGTACGCTTCAGTTAATTACAAACAGTACATATTGGAGGACCAAGGCTTTTGTAAGACCTGTAAAGCCTGCTGAGGAGATGTAAGGAGAATCATAATTCATTTTATAACTTTCCATGCATGAAATACAGCAGGAACTTAAGAATTGAAAACTGATGCTTTTGTGATTTTCTGAATTCGTACGCCGTCTAAAAGTAAAAAAATATTTTCCTCCTCTGACTGACTGATTATTTCTGTCTTCTCGCAACTTAAGAGTCTGAAACAATCCCACGCGTCAAATATTGCACTTTAATTTCCGTCTGGTATTGTTTGCTTGATTGATTGTTGCCTTATTACAGACTTATGTGAAGTGAGTAGCTTACATCACCTGAAAACATTAAAGTCTAGTAAAAAGACAACACATCCAGCAGCCGTAATGATCTGGCGTAACTAGTAAATGCATATTACCTCAGTATTAGCTTTTCATAAGCAAACACAGTCTTTAAACAGCTGATGTCAGTTTTTGTAATTCTACTGCAAACAATCTGCCCGTGTGATAAATAACAGAACGCTGCCAGGAGAGAAAAGGCGGCTGAAAATTTCCGTCTCTCTGGGAAAGTGGAAATCAGTCAGAGTGAGAGTGGGGGTGGTAAAACAAGGCTATTTCGGTCTTCCAGTAATAAGGCCTAGAAACACAGAGGCCCCTCTGACATTCAGAGGGGAAACATTTCTAATCAGATTCGAACGCTTCACAGGTGGAAACCGTGAGCAGAAGGAAAGGACGCTTCTTAGTCTTACCTTGATTTACAGTATTTCCTTTGTTGTAAAACGGTTTTAGTGATTCTGCAGCATGACTGACAGAATGATTTCTATCTGTGCTGTTTTTCACCGTAGAAACATCTCAAATGTGTTACTTTTTATTACGTGTGCTTTGTTATCTCTATGTTTTTATGATCATCTCTGTTTTTTATTTTCTTTGCTGCACTGCAGGCCTAAATTCCCCAGTGTGATCATTAAAGTTTCATTTTACCACATCTCAAGTGTGAGGTAAACAGAGTCATTAGGCAGGTGGTAATCATAAATGGGTGGGATGACCAGAGCTGACACAAAGCAGGAGCACTTCATGCGCAGCATGGGGAAATTAACTGTCCCTCTGGAGAGGGAGCAGTTTGGCTGCAGGTGCAACAGAAGCAGAAACTCCTGAGGATTGAATCAGCTACAGTTTTCTTACTTGCACAGGATGATGTTATGCTTTCTGTTTCAACAACAATGTTTCTTTGAAAGCAAGTTTGGTGCCCGATCTTTTAAAGGTACGGTCCACTTTTTATCATAACTGCTGGGAAATCTATTATTTCCAGTTATGATTAGCAGCCTCTAAGCTGCTAATTGAAAAGACATGCAGTGTATGGCATGAAGCAGCCATCTGTCCTGAACACCACAAGCTGCTCCCCTGCGGTGGGGCCTACTGAAACTGGCAGCCACTGAGCAGCAAACACATCACACTTTGTTCTGTCAATAATCTAGATGATCAATAGATTGATGAGGATAGTCAGGTTTCCAGATTGACTGGTTGACGGTACTGTGGGTTCTACAATCTAGTAACAACAAGCTGAGAATCTCTCATCACGAAAAGCTGAACGGGTTATTAGACTTTTTCAGATTTAGTAAAGAATGGTGTAACCTTACGAAAACAGCAAGGCAAGCTGGGGGCATTGAGTACAGCAAAACGGAGCAAAGCCTGTGGACTACGGTGAACTTTCCAAAGTTCAGCTTGTCACAGTGGTTCAGGAAACATCCCTGAAGTGAGCCGTGGGTGACAGCTGCTGCCACTCCACTGGCACAGGTAAATGCCAGGAGCCCCACTTGGATGCATGGCGTGCAGACACACAAAGTGCACAGAACCAAACACAGACATACTGCTTTAAGGAGTCCAAGCAGGGTTAGATTTATGCCACTGTCAGCTTATAGAGATCATGCATGTGTAAAGACCCACAAAGGTATTTAACTTAATGATGAATATTTTTTATTTTTCATATAATGAAATCTGTCCTGCACATGTATTTATCCTCCTTTACTCTGATGTTCCTAAATCAGGGGTCTTCAACGTTTTCTAGGCCAAGGACCCCCAAACTGATGGCGAGATGGAGCGGGGACCCCCTAATTATATATGTTGAATGAAATTGTTTTATATCAAACTGGTCCTATAGTCCCTCTATTACAGATGGAGTAATGTAACGAAAGTAATTCCTCCCTGGGATTATTAAAGTATTTCTGATTCTGATTCCTGGTTGATGGGACAGGTGTTGTGAATGAAACGGTGCCCAGCTTGAAAGAGCTCCTGTGTGTCGCTGAATGTGTGCATTGATGACTGAAAGACATCTTCTTCCTCAATTTATCTGTTTAATACAGTGTGTTTTATTCATGTTAATGTGTATTTAAAGACTTTTCAATTAATGGAAAAATTGCAGGGGGGAATATAAAAAAAAAAATGTTATCAACCAAAACTTTGCGACCCCCATGCAGTACCTCTGTGGACCCCCTAGGGGTCACGGACCCCCTGTTGAAGACCTACGTTCTAAATAAAAACAATGCAGCCCAAAAAAGGTTCTAAACCAAGTCTAACTCTCTGTAGTTTGGTCTGATTTTGAGCCGATCTGCAAAGGCCGAGTGAATTATTATTATTATTTAATATCTAAGAAAAGAAAAAAAATCATAGTTAAGATGAAGGAACACAGCAGGTTATATAAATATATATATTATTATATATATAAAAAATATATCAAAGAATCCAAATCTCACAGAGCTTTTCAATCCATCATTCAGAAATGGCGTCACAGCAAACCAGAACAGGTAAGCAAGAGACACACAGATGATCGAAACTAAAGGTAATAATTCCTTGAATTTGGCTTTATTGGGGACTGGCAAAAATAAATCAAATAAAAACTAAAGGGATAAGGATATTGGGAATATTAAAAAAAGATTTAAGGAGAACAAAAACTAAACAGTTGTTCTTTATTTTAAATGTTTGGTGTGAAAGTCAGCCTAAAAACACCTTTCCCATAAAGACCCAGGGAACAATCATCATGAAATCCTCTTGTTTAACAAGAAAATAAAGGAATATTTTAACAAAAGCAGATGTTTTGTTCAGTACAACAAAAACTCCTCTATGTGATCTAGATTGTCTCTCTCCAAAGAATAAGATAATCAAAATTGTGAAATGATAATAATAAAGTATTAATGCTGCATCATGGAGCATACATGTTTCCTACTGTAAAAGAAGCAATTTTATTTGAAAATAGCAAATACCTTTTGGATTTTGTCATTTTCTTTCATTATATTTGTCTGCATTCCTGGGGTTTATTCGTTTAACTGGATTTCAGGATTAAATGCCAAACAATTTGAGCCACTTGTATCTAACTTAGCTTTAACGTCTGGTGGACTGTGACTGCTTCTGGAAGCTCCTTTTTTTCTTTCTGTGATGAAAATATGATGTCACAAAAACAACATAAATGATGTAACATCAAGCAACATGACACTCATGCTTTACATCCAGAAGTTCTCACTCCAAGAGCTCTTGATCTCCTTTCAGCTCCCGCTGACAGCTAAAGGTTTGAAACCTGCTGAGTAGACGCTGATTAGATGTAGATTATTGATTTTGTGCATTGACTCCCATCCTGTCTCTGTTCATATTCGTTTGGAGCAAAATGAATGGTTTCAGTAATGACATGTACAGCTGCTCCCAATCTAAGCTTTTCTTTTATTTCCCTGAGGAGGGATCTGAAGCAAAGCGGTAAAATATTGAGATTTATCTCTGTGCCCTAAGAGGGATTTCTTCATTAGTTGGTTTAGAATGTGCAGTACTTAGAATGGCCACCAGGTGTCTGTAGTGTAGAGGGGATATCTCTTGTTAAAAGGTTCCTCCTCAATCCTTTTCTGCACACTATGAATATGAGATGGTTTGCTGCACCACTTCATTGTGGTTTGACCTGTTTCTCTCAGCAGGAAATCCCACCTACCATCAGAAACTGCAACGCTTTTTTTCATGAGAAGATCAGCGATAAGACAAAATGAGAAGTATGATCAGAAAGATAATGAACAGTAGAATAAATCTGACATTCATGCATAAAGACCCTCTTTGCTTTCAAAGCAGTTACAGACGTCTTTGGAAGCTCCTGCAGAGGACTTACCTCAACACTTTGTTTTGTAATTTCTTTACATAACATGTAAATATACAGACCTGATCAGAGGTGTCAAAAGTAGTAATGTTTATTACTCAATTAGAAGTATAAATCCTACTTTTTCTAAAACACTTTTGTAGAACTTAGAGTATCAGCTTAACGTTTTCATTCAAGTAAAAGTGTAAAAGTACCATGTTTGAAACTACTTCAAGCATAAAAGTAAAGTAGTGCAGGAAAAACTGTTGAGGGGACAAGCTTTACTGCAGTACTCTATTAAAGGGACATTTTTCTTCTGATCATTTCCTTACAATTATTTTTCTTTGTTTTATACCTAATTGCAACAGTGTCAATTTTAACTTTGCATCATCTTAAAAGACGATTAAAAAAAATAAATAAAAGTAAAATAAAAAATTATTAAAAAAAAAGAAAAAACATTCATTTTTTATTAGCATACTAACAGAAAATATCAGCTTTGCACACAGAAATCCAGTTATAGTGGATATTTTGTATAAATATAAGGAGGGTTATAAACTGCAGGTCTTGTTTTTTTCAGCAAAGGGGACGCAGTAGCTATCGAGACAGAACTACTGAGAGACTACAGGTTTGGACAACAGCAGCTGATTGAACTTTGGGGACAAGCCTGCGCTCTTGCCATCACAAAGGTATGGACAAAGTTTTTATTTCATAAATCAGTTTTTCTTTTCTTGTTTTGAGTGTCATAGGAAGCTAGCTTACAATGATGTACTAGACAGCAGGAGAAAAGGGAAAATTCCTTTACGCCATCCATCCATCCATCCATCCATCCATCCATCCAGCCATCCATCCATCCATCCATCCATCCATCCATCCATCCATCCATCCATCCATCCATCCATCCATCCATCATTGATTGGATTGTTAAATGTTGAAGACAACTTGGTTTAAAAAATGATTCTCAAGTCCAGGATCTTTGTTCTTCAACTATAGAAATTTGATTTCATGAGTTTCAGCCTCATGGTGCGTCCTGTGTCGTGGAGTATACAGGGGGGTAAAGAGGGGAGATTAGCCTTTCACGACCGCCTCACGATCGGGAATCGTAAGGTCGGGAAGAAATCAGACATATTAGAAATTCAGTCTGCCCTTGTGAGGCATTAGTGGGCAAATCCTGCTGTTGAAGCAGAGCTACGAGTTGATTTACCAGAAAATCGTGCACTGCCTGTGTGCAAACAAGGGAGTTCTTCTTCTTCCACATTGATGAGTCCGACCAGCGCCATGTTTTGGCGGTGAGTCCGACGTGTTTTTTGGATGTGCAGTGTGATTAGGTGGATCACATCAGAGCCGTACAGTTTAGGAAGGAACATCATTAGCTGTGAAGATTTAAACTCTGTGATTTCTCTGTACAGTTTGACCTTTAGCTGAGTATAATGATTGAAAATATTGTGCATTGTATGCCTGGCCTAATAGGAAACTATTTATATTTATTTAAATAGAGGAAAACCCCATTTAGCAAAACCAAAAAAAATAACAATAAAAATCCCAAAATGTCTGAAATAAGAAAGAAAACCTTCCTTAAGGTCCTCAGTGTCCAGCATCCCCTCCTCAGCCTCACAGTTTAAATGTCCTCCTCTATTCTGAGGACATTCGATTATATAAGAGGGGAAAACGACACAGCTGCTGCTTACACTCTAATTGGCATTTGCTTCCACAAATTTCTAAATATGATGTAGGGAGAGAGCTCTGAAGTTTCATTGCCATTTACTGCCAAACATTTGTGCAGTTCACCTGGGGACAGAACACCTGAGCTAACTCTTTGGCAAAACTGAACCACAGCGCTGCTGAAACACTGGGCCTCTTTTCTGCTGCGGTTGCTTTTTCATTGCGCTGTGATCTGGACTTTTTCAGGATGAGGTGAGTGTGTCAGGCAGAGCTGGTAGGAACATATGTGGGTGTCTTTGAGCAGACCGCTGGCTTGGTCCAATGCCGTTATGGTTTCCACTGTGGGCTTTCAAAGCGAAGGTCCGAGTTACATGAAATCCTGCTTCGTTAGGAGGAGAGAAAAAGGACAAGTTAAGTCAAAAACCGTCAGGAGAGCACCTCAGCCACCTTCCAGATGAGAGTGAACCCGGGTCCTGTGGGACATCAGTCAGAGCAGAGCACAGGCTTTCTGTGTGATTTAACCAACCGCATCCACTTCCCCTCTATTATCATCAGCCGCCGTTGGCCTCATGTCTGGCCCTCCACCAGACACCCTGCAGCTTCGTGTTACTAGACAAACACGGACTGGATGCGGCAGATCACGGCTGCCCACAGCCGCCAGCAGAGCACCGCTGCTGAACATGACATCATTTCTATTTAAAGGAAATTACAGTAGAAGGAGCAGCAGACGGTCTGATTTCACTGATTTCATTGCTAGCTGCTCCCGCTGCTGGACACCACACCAACATTCATATGTTTCACACACACACTGGTTGGCAGATAGATTTTAGGTTTTCTGTAAGTAATCCCTTTAGTGTTCTAACAGCAGCGGCCACAACCATCAGCTGCAGACTCTGGATTAGTCTGATGGTTTTCAACACCTAAATGCAGACGGGAGATGTTTGCAGCAATGAATTCATTTGAATTCAAAGAACCAGACTGCGGGTTGGTCGGTCAGTGCAAACATCAGAGGTCCTGCTTTAGGGGATCAAACCTTTTTTAGGTTTCATGATTTTTCCAGGTAACTGCAAAGGTGGATTTAGAAGTTTTCTTTTCCTTCATAGGTGTTTGGTTTAAGACATCACAGCCATGTCTATCCCTAAGTGTAAAATTCTAATACCCCTTTCCCACTGGCCAAAAAAACCATTTAAACCCGGGAACAATCAGCTTTTAGTGACAGTGGGAACAGCTCACTTAACACATTTCTACCCAGATCTCCTTGGCTCTGGTCTGCATGTTTTGGGAACACCAGACCTGCTAATTTACTTGATACCATCGAACACAACGTAAGGACATCAACAAACAACAAACAACTCTGTTTATTCTTTGAACATGGTGCAGCGCTGGTGAGAGGAATTCGGAAAGATAATAGAGTGAAACAATAAAGCACACTGACTATGCCCTGGTTTGCTTAAGCCCTGAACACTTCAGTTGCATACACATTTTAAATCTCCAATCCGATTTTTTCCATGTCCCATTCACTGCGTATAGAGAGGCTCAGACTAGGCAGGGTTGGCAGATCTGCACAGATTTTGTTTCACTACCTTCTCTGTGATATATACAAATGAAAACAATTCCCCACATTTGCCTTGGACATATTATGAAAACCAAAAATATGTATAAT